GTGTTACCATATATAGCGAGTGAGACGGTCATAAAACAGGCTAGCAATTGCCCTCGTGAGACCAATATCCTTAGAGGTTCCCTTTGCTCCGCTGGGCCCTCTCCTCTGAGCTTGCTGGCTGGCTGGCTGGTTGGTTGGTTGGCTGGCGTGCTGCTTGGGGAGCAGACGAGCAAGGAAGCCGGCCTTCCGGCTCGTCTGGTAGTCAGTGAACCCCCTTCGCCTGAAGTTCCCTAGCCGAAGAGGGAAGAGCGATCACTCGTCATACGAGAGAGCCGTCCTCCTCTCGTGGCCTTGTGACCCGCTTTCCGCTTCTTCGGCTAACCGACAGCTGATCGATGCAGATCTCGGCCAGACGCTCGATTGACGGATCGGGTTGCCGATCGATTGACTGATTGCGAGAGAATTACGTTTGCATCCTTCGCGAATGCCCTGTACTCCCGCAACGCCAGCGCTCTCGAGACGACAACGATTTCGATGCGTTACGTCATGGGAACTGTGTCGATTTCCTGATTTTTCGAGGAAAAATTCGTTTCTCCGTAGTCGACGACCTTAACACGTCTGCGTGAGAAAGCGACTGGCTTAGCCGGGGAGCGCGAGATTCCTCCAGACTCCGATCCGTGCGAAATATTCCCTCTCGGTCGTTTGTTCTCCAACATTGAGTATCGACTCTCTTGAAGTAAAATCGATCCTGACGTTCGAGCACTTGAGCAGTTCAACGTCTCCCGGGACAGTCAATCAGGAAGCATAAACTTGTTTGTACGACATGTTCTGAGCTCTTGCAGGACTCCGAACTCACAAGCGAACACGTGGTCTCCACCGTCGTACGAGACCGCGAACGATCGCGGCATGATATCTGTTCGCTAAGGCTCGGCTAGACAGGAGAGAGAGGAGAAGGAAGCAAATTTCGCTCAGGAACGTATTCAGAAGACCGTATGAATTTTTAAACGCGAGTCGGGTGGTCACCACACAGGAAAATCGTCGATATCCGGTCTGGGGAGAGAGCCTAGCAGTAGAAGGAAAAGTCTGACTCGGCAGGGGGATGAATGGAAACTGCGGAGCTCGAATGTCGAAGGGTCAAACTTCATACTATCCGCGACGCTCGATGCTCTGAACGCAGTCGCGCGATCCCGGAGTCGAATGTTGGTGATGCGCCGCTTGAGAAAAAAGTTCTCGCGGCTTGAACCTATCCAGCTCGGCTCGAACGGTCCCATTCGCCTGCCTCCAAGGGCAAATAGTGTTAATTCGGATACGAGAAAGCCTCCGCTTAGAGTTAAGTCGCATCGTACAACACTCTTTGCACTTCCACCCGATTCACGTTGTTGGCGGTAGTGGCGTAGCTTCGGAGCTATAAAAACCACCGTCGACAAACACGGCCTCATTTGCGAGACTCTTCAACCAAACCAGCCCACTGAACAGGCCGCCGAGCGAGCGAGCTCCCAAGTACTCGTAGTCGATAGCGAAGAATCTATTCTCAATGCCATGCACACCCTCTCCCGCAAATACTCGAACTCACGCGCGCGCTACTCGTTGTGACGAACGAGAGTCCTAAATAACAGACGCTAACTAGGATCGAACGTTCCACGGAGAAAGTTCCAACAGAACTTCGGAGTTCGGTCAACACCACGTCGAAGCACAGGAATTCCCACAGAAATCGAAACGTCGAAGGAATGCGGGAGGATCGATAGTGATACTAATCTGAGTTCCACCACAGTTATCGTTGATTGCGTCGCGAAGAACTAGCAAGGGCAGCAAATACTGAAGGAAGAAGAAACTCTCATCATTCTGTCCCCTCGCCAGCCGCAGAAGAGCTCGCGTTGAGGGTTTGTGAGGCTCCCTAATTTTTTCGTCACGCGACAGATCCACTGAGGGAACGTCTGGACAGAGGAAGAGATCATACGAGCACTGACTCACGGGGATCTCTATGTTGGAGCCGGTGGCGACGGGAGGTAGCGTGGTACAAGAGAGAAATCCGAAATCCAATTTGTAAGATATCCTAGCACTCTTCTCGGGCCTGGGTTGCTTGTTGGTAATGTCAACAGTAGCGGCCGCAGCAGATGCGGTGAGTGGAGCCTCTCCATTTTTTCCCGCTGGCATCGTGTACACTGTGGATTGCTCACTGACAACGTTTATTAACTTGTCTCAAGCGAAGTCCAATCGGTGACTTGCCGGCAACGCGGAGGTCTCATTCCTTTTCCATGGAGATCATTCAGAGTTTTCTTTCTCTTGATTTGTATTTCGTCTCTCCGCGCCGATGGCATCTTTACCCGCGCTCCGGACGGTGGAGCCGAGGGTCAGCTGCCCAGCGCTCGCGTGGTATTCCGTTTCGTGCAACATAATCAGCATCTCGCAGAGACGTGTATAATGCCTTCGACTTGGCCCGGTGCTTTGTTGCCACATTGCTCGCTGACGTTCGGTCGGTCGACCGGCTGGCCAGCCGGCCGGCCACCGTATTGCGCCGGTCATTGAGGGCAAGCAGCAGCTACATAAATCAGCGTGAAGAAAGCACGCTTGCTCATTGCCAGACGGCGCTTTCTTTGCGGAGCTTGCTCACCGTACATGCGCTCGAATACATGCGTACGGACTCGGTCGGCTCGACCGGCTCCGAACGTGCCAGTGGATATCATTCGGTGCCGTCACTATCTGTGCCCAATCGTCTTCCTCGCCGGCCTGCTCTCCGCTCCTCTCATCCATACGAGCAGATCCACGATCACAAGGCTACGGCACAGTCTGCAGTCCAACGAACGGTGGACAGAGAGACGAGCGCAAGAGAATGTTTTAATTACCCGCTGCGCACATCGAGCCCTTATTTCTACAATTGCTGATACCGTTTTGTTGTAGCATCACATTGAACGCTGGAGTTGGAATTCAGCTCACGTGAGCGTCGGTTCCGACCTAGCGACGACGACGAAACAAAGTCTGTTGCTGTCATCCCGTCGGTACTGTTCGCCAGCATCCGATGCTCAAATGAGAATCCGTCGCTCCGAACCGGCGAGAAACTCAAGCCCTCCAAGGCTCGGAAACCCCGAATTGCCCCGACGGAAGGGGTCATGTGTCCCATCGGAGGCCCATCGGAAGAGTTCTCGGTCAGCACTGACCGGGCATACACTCACGGAGGAGTGTTCCTCCCTTTTGGGTAATCCGTTTCTTTCGTCGAGCGTCCCAGCATACAATTGGAAAACCGTGTTGTGTCTCGTCGGCCTGGCTCGTGCCTCTCTGTCATCGATGGCAGGCTCCCGCTGCTTATTTTCCTCTTCCCCAGTCTGTCATAGCGGCTGACGATGCTGTAAGCCAATTCAGCATGCGTAAAGCCAATTCTTCAACGCTCCCCCGGTTTCTATCACTCTCGGTCGGAATCTTGCGAGCCCAGTGGTGACGATGGGAGTACTTGGTCAGCTGTTTCCCCTGTCGATGCGGGGCGACGCGAGATAAATTGCGTCTTCCGGAAAGCAAAAATACCGAGGCTTCTCGCGTGTTCTGTTGTCTTGCTACTCGAATTCGAAATCTCTCTGCTTGTCGGGTTCTCGTTCGTTTCCATCTATGTGTCGTTCGTCAGCGTAAAGTTTTTGTCGCTGACTTGGATGCCGCCTCGAAATAGCGAAGAGATTTTTGGATATTTACCGAGCCTCTGTCTGGCTGAAACTGTATGACACTAGCTCTCACTCTGCTGCTGTGGCTGACGACGAGGATGATGATGGCGACGACAACGATGACGACGATGGCGGGATCGACGAGTCTTCCCAAATCCCTGCCAAAGGGAACGAGATGAGCTTTTTGAGAAAGACTTACTCATTCCCTCTTTTTAGTTCCTTCTATCCAAATTCGAAGAGAGGAATCGGAGGGTGACAGGGAGAGCGGAAACAGAATCTGTGGATGAGCCGTCGAGCCAGCGCTCACAGAGAGGGACGAACATCGTACACTACGACGGAGACAGAAGTGACCGAGTCCGACTTTTCTCCCCATTTTTTCCTGATCGGAACGCGAATGAGCCCTGCGTGATATTCTTCCACTGCTTGCCTCCGAACCTACGGATAATTCCTCGTGGGTGGAATTATCGATGATGATAATGAGTATCCGTAGCATACCTACAGGGAATTTCTTATGGGGCGCCTGTCCACGGCTCATCCAGCGACGGCTACCAACCGCCGACGTCAGCGGCTTATAAGAGGCATTTCCTCCGAAAGTGGCTCGCTGGCAGGACATTCAGATGCGGCTCCCGAAATCTTTCGTAGACCCGAGTTCGAGCCGTACTGGAGAAATCCGGGGAGGATTTGCGGAGGGAAGAACTGTTGCACAGAATATTTCGAATGGCAACAGATCGAGAAAAGCCAGTGTCTGTATTTTTTTTCGGTCATAAAGGCTTGCTGGTACGTGATCCCCGTTCGCTGACTGACTAGCTGGCGAGCCGCGTCGCCACCGCTCTCTTAAGGCAGCGTACGACCGAACGGGTAACTGAATAACTCCAGTCGTGGAGAGCGACCGACCGAGCCGGCAGACGAGTGCACGCGCGTTGAGTGTAGAGAGTCGGCGAAATTCGAGATCAAAATTGGTTTTCAATAAAATAACCCCTTCCATACGTGGCTGAATAGTAGCGATCACGTTGCGCGGAGAGCAGCACCGCTGTCTCTTCCTTCGTCGAACTCCAGCTCCGGCGAAGATCTTGCCTTTCGGCGGGATATCCGGCTAGCAGCGAGAGCCGGAGAGGGGGAGACTTGTGCATTTTGTACATTGTGAGACAAGCCTACCATAAACATATCTAGCTGACGTACATACATACGAACACTCATCCATCCAGCTAGCCTGCCGCCCACTCACACGCTCTCACATTCGGTCAGTAGCGCGACTAGCGAGCCATCATAAAGCAATCGGTTCTATCGACTCAATCCGAGTCTAGTATTTCCTCCCAGGACATGTGAACGAGCAGTTGTAATAATCGGTGATTGTTTGCGTAGGCCGCGAATGTCGGCAAGAGTCAGACTAAAGGTTCGTCCTCCTTGTTCCAGGTTCTTCCTGAAGTTCTTCCTGAAGTGCAACCAAAACTGCCTCAAGAATGCGGGAAACCCACGAGACATGCGGAGGTTCCAGGTGAGCTATCGTCCCAGATCGAAGCATGTCTCAAAATTCCGAAACGCGACGATGCCCTTTCCGAGCGCGGCGTCGGCGTCAGCACGGCGAAAGTGCTAAGTTATGAGCTGAGTGAGTTCGGAGTAGATTTATAAGGCTTGTCGACAATCTCACGTCTGCCTGACCGATGGGTGAGCAACATTGAAGAGCCAGCGGGGAGATTTGCGGGGCAACCCTCACCCCTCCCGGTAACCAGGGTCATAAAGCACTTGACGACTTCACCGCTACCATTTCGCCGCTGCCTGTTGTAGCTACTGGATGCTGGTACAATGTTGGCAATTTTTAGCGCCAACTACACAGCGGCGACGAACCAATCGGGTCGGACCCATAAACTCATAGAGACGATAGTCGTTCGGCTTTCTTGCGCCGATTTCAATAGCATATGTCGTAGCTGCCGCTGCTTATCGCGGAGCTGCGATCCAAAATGGCGCAAGGTTCACCTGCGGATAAAATACGACCTGATGGTCTACCCACTTCCCCCCCCCGCCTGACGAGCGAGCAAGGGGATGAAACAGAGCAAGGAAGAGAGATGAAGAGGACTTGTGTGCCAAGGAGCTTCTCCCCTCGAGGGTCTGTTTGAGGACGACGAAGAGGACAAACAGGATGAAAAATAGGAAGAGAGAAATGACGATGAGACAAGAGAATGAAGCCTGCGGGAGAAGGGAGCTCCGGCGGCTTCGGTCCGGCTGGTATCGATGGCAAGCGCGCGCTTCTCGCTGCCCTTCCCCGTCTCCTCCGAACGTTTCTCCTCGATACGATCTCCTGCGATCGAGGGGGAAAAGTTGTTGAATTTTTTGAAAAATGAAAAGTAGAAAAGTGGGCAGGATCTACTCGCCGAGCACCAACTCGACCCCCCGGCGCTGGATTGCAGCAGAAAAAAAAGAAAACGATGAATCTACTTGTTGAAACCAACTCAGCGAGCCACCTCCACTCGACTTACAACGTCATTTGCAATGTCCAGCAAATCGATTCCTCATAAGGAGAGAGCGCCCGGAGCTACCCCGACTGGATGGAATTAATGGAGGAGATTCTTCTTCTTTCAGGTGGTGATTTCCAGCCAGGTGAACGTGGAGGGGCCTCTGTTGGCCGTCTCCGATAATATGTTCGTCCACAACAACTCCAAGCACGGTCGGCGAGCGAAGAGACTCGACGCGAGTGAAGGCGACACCATAGGTGAGCTGCATTCCATTGGCGATCCCCACTCTAGAGGCCCCACTCCCATAACCACCCACTCCGCAACCAGTCTAGGACTAGGTGTGTACCCTTCGTGATTATGCATTCCCCTATATGGTAATCCTAGATTCAATCTATTACGTACGAATCTTTCCGCAATCCCGTAAAATTCCTCGCTTGTTCCGGTATTCCGGTGTACTCGAGCTCCCAAAAGATTCAATAGGTATCCGATCGAGCGATGCTCCTGAGACGTCCTCGGCTCTCGGATCGTTTTGGATCAAGGAGAACTACTGATGTCACGACTGATGTCCAGGTCATAAACGCATAAAGTGAACTGGAGCTTCATCCGTGCGGCATGGCTTTAGTTGCTCAATGCAACCTGCTGATGGCTGCGGTGCGCCGAGCTCCGAGGGTACTATCTACCTACCTACATCTGTTTACTCATGTAATCCAACCCGCACTTCGGGTCCTAAGCTTTTTAGCAAACATAACAAGCACACCATACCCGCCAATATTGGCCCAACGATGCAACAACGAACAGTGAACATCTATCTGTTCAACTCCCCAGCGTGGCTTTGGCTTGCTTTTCGAAGACTCGGGAACCCACCTGACAACCGATATGCGCAATCAGGATAGAGATGATGATGATGCGGCTTCAAGCAGATCAGGACACGCGCGTGAGCGGAACGTAGCATGAAGAGCAGTGGTTCGGATTGTTGCTCGTTGTCAAGGGTCACAACGCGGGGGATTCCTCCCGAATAGTGAAGTCAACTGACGGAGTGAGCACCGACTCCACCAGGATAACTAATGTGTCAATCTCTGAGTAAAGTCGCTGGAGCACTCAAGCATGTCATAGCCGTTGGTGTGGTCATTTGTTCGACCGAACTCGCTCCGCACAGACGGCCAGTCGGACAGATACCTATATAGAGGGAAGAAGTCTTTGGAAATGAGTGTTTCAAGTAGCTGCTGCGTCTCGACCCTTGTATCGGTTCGATTCGATTCGACAGATCCCCTCGACTTACGAAACTTTACGATTGACCAGGTGGATCAGTCTTTTCTCCAAGCGAGCGAGCTAGCGAGCGCGTGAGTGCCGAAGCGTCCGAGTGCTTCGCTCTAAGAGCAGCGCTCGAGAATCAGGGAACTGCATCTGGGACTTAACGAGTTGCTCCGATTGTGAGAGCTGGAACAGATGATGGTCGAGCATCGTTGGGTCTCGTGTTCATACACTGACCACGTTCGATGTCCACCCACTGTAGCTGGAATTACCCTTTCCGTTATTGGAGCGCTCTTCCCCCTTTCCTGGGAGTTCTCTCGCATTTAATTATCCCTCCGCAGTCGTGATTGCTCTTGTTTCTCTGTCGCAGCTCTGAGGGAGCTACAACTTTTACAACTAAAATGAAAAGGCACCAGGCGATCGAACTCCGGCTCTGATCACTGTCAGTCAGAACGCGAAGCTTGTCGATTGGCTCGGCCAGACGGTCGGTAGCCCGGTCTAGCTGTCGATCTGTCCTGGTCGAGCGGTCCGAGCGGTAAATCCTATTGTAGAAGAGGCAGCTTCGTTTGGAGGGCAGCTAACGGGCCCAGCAGCTAAGCGGCAAACGAAGAAGCTCGCCGCCCGGGCTCAGAGCGAAGCTAGTAAGGTCTGACTGTGAATCATCTCGCCTGGGGTCACCTTGGTCCGTCTATGCGAGTGTTTGCTCCCTAGCTTGTCGCTCCGTGCACCATCCCGCTACTCGTCCATCAATCTATCCATTTCTCCTGTTCCTTCGGCCCAGTAGCCATCACGCTTGAGACTTGATTCTGTCATTTATTTACGCATTGCTTATACTTCCCAGCTTACGTATGTACATTCTCGCGTATGATATGTACTGAGGGCTCGGAGCCGACGCTGTCAAGCCGACCGCTTGTTTCTAGCTCCGGCATTCGTTCAAGAATGCTATGACACAGAAGTGTTCGTCGACTGTATCGACCAGAGGTCCCGCTGGAACCTCCAGTCGGATATCACAGCTCCGATCGCTCTCTCTTTCTTTGAATTTGAGGTTAAAAATCGCATGTTTTCTTTACAGTCGACGTGAAGAGAGCTCGTTTCAATGAGGATCTCATTTTGAATAATCCGGCATCGCATTTTACCGATGGTGAGTGATCTATTGAAATTCTCCGGTAGGTAGATTCTCTACGTAGATCCTCGAAAAGCCTCTGTGGCCACTGAACGCTCTACGCGATCTCTGAACGATGACCACCGAGAGTCCGATGCTCGCAGATCGGCTTCGGTCTCTCGATCCGGCGCGGTGTATCATACATGATAATTATTCTTGGAATCGGAACAAAGAGGAGGAGTGAACGTACCTACCTTCGCAAATACATCCATCCGAATCTGACCGAGTGCTGTGTCTGCGGGAAGAAAGAGCAACGTTGCACTCCAAAAAGGTTCCATGTTTGATGTCGGATGGGTCGGTCGTTGGAACCGTTGCATGTTGAGAGATTGCATCGCACGCGACCTTCCATAGGCTTCTGCTGCTGCACATTTCTCTCTCTCTCTCTCCCCATCTAAGTGATCCCTTATCTACGATTTCTTTGAAACCCGATTCGGCATCGGACTGGCAGGCTTCGACCGGTCGAGCGGCAGCGGAGCCGGTGAAGAGTGGCACGAAGGCTGGTTCCGAAGTCACGTGACTCCTCGTCATTATCAAATGAGATTTTATCGTTGCTGCCTCTCCTTGCGACAAGATGACAGAGTTCAAACTCGACCGACTATCGACAAGGGACCCTGGTACAACAAGCGGTTGTGGGGGAGGAACGTAACGCTAGTATGCTAGAGGAGCATTAAAACACACACTTTTACACTCGCAGAATCTTCGTCGAGTAATTGTTCAAGTGGCCTCTGACCTCGGTCGCGTAGATCCTACACAATATCGCAAGCAATCGTACCTGAAATTCACGACGAAACTTTGGCATGCTTTCCCTCTGCAGGAGGGTGATAAGTTCATTTCGATCAGACTCGTACAAATGGGGAAGGGGGAAGGGGCGGGGCGGTAGGGACACCATGATTTCTGACACTTGGGAGGAGGAGCGGCTCAGTCCTAATGAACGCTCCAGTAGGGAGTGTTCGAGCGCCGATTACGCTCCACGCTGCTCCAGATTCCTCAAGTCCTGGGAAACAAATCGCAGAGGAGGGATGACGTTCTTCGATGTATCTCAATCGCTACTGTTTCCAATGTCCTGATCTGGGAAAGCGTAATGAACAGCGCCCGGCTCTCGAGATCTTCATGCATGATACGAGGGTTGTTTCGCATGTTGGAATTCTTGGAACTCCTTGGAAACTGATATTGATCCATGACGCAGGCTTAAGAGGGACTCTTTTCTCTGTTTGCAGTAACATTTAGTTCGACGCCGGTTATCAAGGCGATTAGTCCGTCGGAGGGGTGGACCACAGGGGGCACCTCTGTGATCATCATAGGGGACAACTTCTTCGAGGGTCTTCAGGTGGTCTTTGGAACGATGCTTGTGTGGAGCGAGATGATCACCCCGCACGCGATCCGAGTGCAAACTCCCCCTCGCCATATCCAAGGCGTTGTCGAAGTGACGCTCTCGTACAAGTCAAAACAGTTTTGTAAAAACGCTCCCGGACGCTTTGTTTATGTTTGTGAGTATCAATCGGAATTCCCTGGAATCTTCAATGATATATCCTGATGACGGCGGAACTGAATTATCGACTGATCTCTTGCATTTTCAGCCTTGAGCGATCCGAACCTCGACTACGGTTTCTTACGGCTAGCGAAACTAATCCCCCGCCATCTAGGAGATCCGGAGAAACTCACAAAAGAGACGATATTAAAACGGGCCGCCGATTTAGCTGAAATGCTGTATGCGATGCCGCGTAACAACCAATTGGCAGGGTTACCTTCACCCCGATCGCCTAACAACATGTCTGGATTCAATGCTTATTCTGGACAATTATCCATCAACGTCGAACAGAACGGACAGGAGTACGGTGCGTACTGAGCAAGAGAAACCTCGACTCTATAAGTGAGCATCCACTGTTCAACAGCGAAGAGATACCGACAGTCTCAACAGTGAGCATCAATTTCTCTATCGGAATTCCAGGCGGAAGGCCACCCTCGGAAGGTGTCTCTCCGCGGGGAGGTGGATACGGCTCGAATGCGTCAACCCCCCATAGTACTTCAACGAACAACAACGCCAACAATTCCTCGTCGGCAGGATCACAACCACAAGCGAGCACCGGATACAGCAGTATGGGAGCACAGTCCACCGGTAAGAAGATGCCAAAGCTCGCATGCGGGATGTCCGTCCAGATCTCGGGCTGCTCGAGATGACTTTCTTTGGGATGAGAAATCATATTCAGGATTCCCGGAGAGATCAAGAAAAATGACGGGTCCATGTCCCAGGTACGCCAACTCCCGGTTACGGCAGTCCAACGCCCACGATGAACGGAAACACGTCGGGAGGATCAGTAACCCCCGACCGGATCGTCGTCTCAGCAGATATTCAACGGTGAGTCGGGGGCTACCAGATTCCGGAAGCTCGAATACGAATTCCATCTACTCCCGCTTTTCCACACCGCTGCGGCGATGTCGCTAATGCCGTTGGATACTGTCGCAGCGGTTGCAGAGTCAGTCGGGTGGGTCTCGGGCTCAGCTGCTCCTCACAGTCATTCCTACTACGAGGGACGACTACAACTCAGGATGGCTTCGGATTCCCTCTGCAAATCCCAGCTCTCCACAATAGGCGTCCGTGGGTTGCTCCGTGCCATTCTGCCTCCCACCCAGTCTCTCAGTCTGTCCATCTGTCTGTCCGTGCGTCTCGTCGTCGGTCAGTCAGTCAGCGAGCTCGTCGTCTCAGAGCTCGAGTCGGTCGCTCAGCCAGTTCCTCTCTTTTTCCCTTGTTCGAATAACAATTCCTATAACCGTAAAGTTAAAGCATACACCCGGCATCGAGATCCTCCGGCTACCGCCGTCTGAATGGTCCTCTGACGGCTGCGCGTTTTATAGAACTCCACTGTTCTTCCTCATTTCGTTCCGCCGTCTTGCGCTAGCGAACCCACCAACAGACCGAGCGACCGGGGAAGGCGACTAGACCCAGCTACCTTCCACCGATCCGGCGGTCCGGGCAGCCAGCGCACAGGAGGGTCAAACTACAGGACGTGATTACCTCACGACCAGTCTGCGAGTGGCCTGTACGTCGCGCGCTCGTTTGTTCTCTGCTACAACTTATCCTGTTTTCTTTTCCGTCGCTCTGTCCTTCTCCCCCCACCCCCGCGCGGGGTATGCCTCGGATTTTATTCCTGCCACGGCTCAGGACTCGATCGGGTCGGCATCTACCTTATTCCGGGGTACGGAAACGAGCTATTCCGATAGCGATCGTTTCTGGCTCTTCGACGTCCCGGATAGAGCGGAAAGGAACGATTGGAGCTTTCGTTTTTCTGCGGCATGAGGGTTCCGACACTGCGGGGAAAATCAAAATTCCCGGTCTCCGGCATGGTCCACATACTCCTCTTATACCAGGGAATCTCTCTGTCGTTAACCCTGGGCTCCGATTCTCACGTGAGAAATGGAGACGACGCCGACAGTCGAAGAGACATGCTGACGGTGTTCGGGGCAGGATCCCCGGGTTTCCGGAAAACCTGATTATCTCGAGCTTCTCGCGCCGCATCATTGTAACCTTCTTCCCACGTAGAATCGATCGAGCAGGAAAGCGATCGATGGATCTCCGAACAAATCCCGGTCTAATTCCCCACAAGTGGCTATAACAACCACCAAATAAAATCCGCGTTGAGGCCCGTCTGCGGGCCTAGTCGATGTCGTCCTGATCCTACCTCTCGCCTTCTATTCTCGCCTCCTCGTACAGCTTCTCCATTTCGTCCCGTCAGAGTTTATACCCGCTTGGCCCTTCGATTTACGACACAAGACTCGAAGATACATTTTTCGAAGCCTCCCGCGAGGATTTCCGTCGCGGCAGGACACGGAATAGTTGATACCATTCGCTCGCTGGTATTTTGTATCTAACCGTTTTTCCTTTCTCCGTGTTACAGGTCTAAGAGGCCTTCCCCACCCGAGTCACTACACTCCTTTCACGCCTATGACGCCCGTTACTCCAATAGCGCCCGCGTAATCTTAGACGGTCGTGATTGATTTCCAACCGAGACATACCCGTTCCAAAGTTGCTCGTTGCTTCTGGCTACAAGAGTGAAGAGCTCGTGAGTTCGTGAGCTTGTCCGCTGACGTCATCGTCGCTGCCGCCACCGCTGAGTGCAGGTCTGGCTGGTCCATTCCATTTCTACCGGAAAAATGAGGGACATCGACTTCTCGCCCTCGATGACTCGACCATGAGAAAGCTGAAGACTCTCCGAATCTCCAGACGGATTATCTGCTGATGATAAGTCCGGATACGGAGTACGCCCAAACAAGCGGTCAAGCCTGCAAGGTGCCGTAGCGAGCATCCACCGTCATTGATAGCTCACAACGTAGAAAGGAAAAAGCAACAGATCCGTTCGAAGTTCTCCCAATCCTCGGTGTCCCAACACTGTACAGTTAGCTAACCACACACATCAAAGCAATTGTCCAAAAGCTCAAAATGGACGAACATTTGTAAAGCCGCAGAGCGACGAACACGAGACGCCGCATTGTACAGTGTAAATGAAGTCGCCACTTTTATGTTACAACTGTCGTCGATCGACTGATTTTCTATGTACATAAGAGCTAACCTCCGCGCCCTTGCATCCGTAGTCCCACTCTGTCCGTGGTCGAGAGGCGTCCCAACAATCCGTTAAGGACGCCGAGCTTATTTCGTGGTGGGAAAGCGTCCCGAACGAGCAATCAAGCATCAACACGAAACCTTGGCCGTGATCCCAAAGGTTTGTCGCAGACAATTTCCAACTTCGAAGCGGATGAACCAGAGCGCACTCGCGTTTTTTGTCGCAACTTCTTGAACTCGGGCAGCCTCCTAGCTACGTTGAACTCTAGCCTGAAATCGATGGGCCGAAGAAATGATTCAACGACGATTCGAAAACCCCACGAAGCATGACAAGCTGAAAGCTCAGCGACCGATTAGCGAAGCGATTATTATCATCATGCAAGCAACAGACAATTAGACTATAATAATGTATGAAATGAGGATGTGACGATTAATAGAGCGACGCTCCTTTAGTGAGACCTCACTGATTTTGATAAGCGAATCGATTAAGTGCGCGACATACATAAGGCAAACCACCACTCTCGATAGCCATGGTTTGGACCCACCTACATATCTCTCGTCTTGTTGCCCAGTTAGATGAAACTTACCTGATGATGATGAAACATAATTTATTGACACGACACACCCAGGTGAGATTTCACTTCGATGACGATCATACGCGTTACGTCCAGGCACAATATTTTCATTTGAAAACTGATGCGTCCGAGAGAGGGAAAGAAGTAATAAAAGAATTGGTCGGAAGCTGGACGCTCATGCAAGCGCGGGTGAGACGCAATGTTGGATCTCACAAGATTACACAAGTACTCAGGAATCGCGGGAGGAGAGCGGTCATGGAGTCGGCGGGTAGAAGAATTATATTATATCACCACAGACGCGACCCCAATGTAGAAGGATGTAAAAGCTAGAAGTCTGTGAATGTGAAATCTCGCTGGATGCCTCAAGAAGTTCGATCCCGATGACAGTATGTGTAAAAGTATGACAGGAAGGAACGACTAGATTTCAATTTTATTTGCTTTGACTCCATCTGTATTTTGTGTGCAATAAGTGCCGTCAATAAACAACATTCTCGTACGGATAAGGGAACAAAGGCTTATTGTTTGTACTCAATGCTCGAATTCCGAAAAGGACGCCAGGCTTCCGGAGCAGTCGCCGGGAATAGCTCGCGATCGGGATGGGGAGCTCGAGAACTCACACCCGAAAACCCGACATCCCGCCCGGCTACCAGCAACAGGAAACCGTATCACACCGCTCACCGTAGGAGACTCAGGGTGTTAGATTCACATGATTCGCTTTCACTATCACTTCATTGGGTTCATCGAGTGTGAAGAATTGAGGCGAAGCACCCCGTCGCTGCACTCTCGATAGAGGCGCAGAGTATCGGTGGTTGCAGGATGAGCTATTAATGTATGCAAGCAGAAAATGAAGATTGATGAGCTCCTGAGAAGTCGAGGAGTCTACACAGGAGCCGGGAGAAGATACACCACACCTCGGACAGAGATGCGGCGCACCGAGATGGACAGATAGCGGTCAACAGGAGATAGTCGACAGCTTCCGACCGACCCACACAATGGCGAGCGGGGCTCCAATTCGGCTCACTTCACGGTGCTCTCGATCCCCGACTGGGCGATCTGATCTTCGGAGCATTCCAGTTGCAGAGTGCGCGAGCAATTGCTTTCCGAGAATTCTGGGACCGGAAAGTACTCTTGCATCATTCCTCTCCAATGAGAAGGGTCGGGTGTTCTCAATGCGTGAAATCTCACAAGGACTCCGTTTCTCGCGAGCGATTGAGCGCTCGTCGGGCGGATGAGGTCAGAGTCTTATCGGGACAGACCGGCGCGAACCTGCTCTAAAGCTTGACGAGCTGTCGGGAGTCGAAGCTCTGCGAGGAGTGCTTGCATTGTTTATTCGGAGTTCAAAATTAAGACGCACCCCCTCGTGCGAGGCGCCGGCTTTTCTACTCGAAAAAGATTGAACGATCCCCCGGTCTTCTCGGAGATTGATGGCTTTGCGTGGAGTTTCAGATATTCATTTTGTATACCTATTCGGCCGACGCCCTGGACTCCAGATTGCTGCGGTGCTCCGAGCGGGCGAGCAATTTAGTTGCCATTCCATTTTATTCTTGGATTCAGGTCCATTACCGGCTCCTTTTCTGCTTTTGTCGATGCCAATCGGTCACCACGCTTTCTTTCGCTGATATCGGAATGTGCAGCGGATAGCTGTAGATGGTGTACACGATGGCGCTCATTTCCCCGCCGTATGGAGAGTAACGGCGACTGCTTAAGACTGATTCTCGGTCGAACTCCCACCGTAAAGCAGCTCGGATCCCCTTTCAATGAGCTGAACGTCATAGGAAGCGGGTCTGATAAAGATGATTTGAATTTCCCCGGCTTTCACCAGAAGAGTTTGCTTGTCTCTTGATGCACCGCCTGCGACCTCCAAACTCAAAATATAACTCTGCGCGGCAGGCAGGCCTACTCCGTCTATAGCCGCCCCGCTCTCTCGAATCCTGCGTGAGAGACCGCGGAAGGGCTGCTACGGCATTTGAGAACTCGGGTCGGGACAGCTTTTGGCAATGTCCCCTTAGCGTTCCAAAAAGGAGGAAATAAAAACTGATGTCAGCAGCCCGATTTGTGTTCCGAGCTCTTCGTTTAGCGCCCTAACTACGCCGCAGGACTCGTGCGAGCAGCTCGGTACTCGACAGCTGCCTCCACCGGTGCCACAAGATCTGTACCTGAAGGAGGAGGCTTCGCGAGAACCGAACCCGATCGCCGAACATGCCCGAATCAAATCCCCTCCGACAAGCCATTGACCTAGGGGAATATTGCTCACGCGTATGAGCATCCCCCTTTGAATACGCAAGATAAGTCATGATTGCGAGCCGCGGAGTACGAGCCTGCGGCCTACCGCTGGGAGAACTTCGCTGTGATTCGATTCTTCTCCACCCGTCGCTCTCACTGGTCGACCATCCCGCCGCTTGGGTTTGATTGCTCAAGGACACCACCTCTGATCCCCAATGAACTTCTCTAAGCACCCGAACGAAAGTCGGGAGGGCATCGTAGGAGCTGTCTCGAGGTGTTCCATAGGTATGCCGCCGCTGTCATCTGCTATGTTGTCCAACACGATCAGCTGGTCATGCATGCGCCACCCACGAGGTGCGCGATTTGCAGCTGTAGGGACAGAGGACAGAAAACATGCGTCAGCGGTGGTTTCCAAAATTCTCGCGAGGATATTCTTCAATCCCGCCTTCGTGAGCAGCGCCAGGGTCCAGAGGAGCATCGGGAAGTCGTGTCTTGAATGTCAAAGCCTCGTCCAACCAGCAGCACCGAAAGTGAGTTCTTGTGAGACTCAAGGGCCCGAGTCACTGCTTGCTGCAGTAGACTTCAGGAAGCCATCCCTCCCCTCGCAATGTGGGCGAAGATTTCTCGGCCCTCACTCGAGAGGACTCACGAGTTCGCGAGTTTCCTGGTAATGGGTAATCGAATGAAAATCAAGAGTATCTGATCTGGAGCTGACCTTGTCCTCCGCAGGGAATGAGGCGACTCCTGTCAACGGGGATTAGGCTGCGCGTCCTTACGCGCAAATTCTGCTCAATTCCGGAAAACCTTTTCGAAGCGTCCGATGGAACTACCTTAAACTCCATCGCGCCGTTTTTCAGAGTTACACAAAACTTCGTCACCGAAGACGAAGAAGCCAGACTTTTGTCTGAAATCGAACCTCATTTCAAACGATTGCGATACGAGCATAATCATTGGGATGGGGCCATCGTCGGCTATCGCGAGGTGGAGCGGAAGAAATGGTCAGAAGACTGTCAAATGGTAGGTCCAGAAACGAGTCATATCGCTTCTCAATCTACACCGGGCTTACGCATTTCTCGGCTTAAACAATTATTTCGTCGAGAGCAGTTCCTCAGAAATCGAGGAAGGCTGCCCTGAGAAAAATCTTCTAGTTGTGTGATTCCGATCAATCCATTCGCCGCGAGCGATTCTTGCGATATCCAAGCCCTATGAAGCGATCCCTCCCGGCAGGGTACACCACTTCCGAATCGATCGGTCATAGCTCAGCGAAAAATCGTTCCAGATTCTGAATCGCGTCCGAGAGACTTCTTTCGCGTCAGACGCCAAGCACCTACCAATGGTCCATTGTTTGGATGTCGCGAAGGATGGCGAAATCTTACCACATGTAGACGCAGTTCGATTCTGCGGAGACACGCTGGCAGGTGAATAGGGATCTCGTACCTTATATCATTCCACTGAGCAAAAACGATATGAAGCTTTCCAATCACGCTGGCTCAGCTCGTTCTCCCTCTTTGCAGGCTTGTCCCTGATTTCTACCGCAGTCATGAAATTAGCTCTAGAGAAAGATCCTTCGAAATGGGTGAAAATTCTGCTTCCACGGAGAAGTTTGTACGTCATGTCAGGAGTGGCGCGATACGATTACACCCACGCCATTCTGGGAGATAAAGAATCTTATCTCCGCGAGCGCCCTGTTCCCCGAGAGAGGCGGATATCCGTGATGTTCCGAGTCGAGCCAAACGAGAGTCAATCTCAGCCTTCATGACGGGGAGCAGAATTTCTTGCTGAAAGAATAAAGTCCATCCTCACAAATTATGGCTCGGTTGCATTGCTTTACGGTTCCAATGTTGCCGTCGATTTCGGGGAATGAAGATCCCGGGAAGTGCTTGGCCCGTTAATGCCAAGCGCTGATTTCGTCTTCAATCGAGCGTCGAATTTGAGGATCACGATTGCGGGTGAATCAAATCAAGCACCCGGGCATGCGGCAATCGACTAACATCCCTGGATACTCGAACCGCATCGAGAACGTTCACGTGTTCCATCGCAAAAGCACGCCAAGCCCGCGCGACGCCGACGTCAGCGTATTCGATTCTCTATCATCTGGCAGCCGTGGCCGGTCGCTGACGAGCGGCGGGTCCGACCGATCAGCTGAGGAACAGCCGGTTTTTGAATCTCGCGCCAGGTGCGCCGCCGTGTGCGAGCAAAGATCACAGTCGCGCGCATAAGTTGCTCGACCGAGCGTGCCGCGATTCACAGTTTCGGAAGTCCTCGTCGACATCGGACCGAGCTCCTGGGGTGAAGCTTTCTCAGTGACGATCGGAATCAGAGCTCCCAGAGAGACTTTCTCTTCGACTCTCGGTCCAGCCAGTTCGAGAAAATTGTGCTAAGGTAGACAAGTTTCGCTGCACGCCCTAGTGGATAGGGCCGATCCAGATTGACGATTTGCGCATGCTTCCATCCTCCTGGCAGCAGCACACACACGGTGGTTGTCGGCGGCATCTGTATACGTGTTCCACTGACTGACTGAGTGGCGGCCGCGGGGTTGTTTGACATCTGCTGAGGAGTTGTTCGCTGTCCTTGGAAGGCCGTACGCCACAATTTAGCGTCAACGATGCAGCAGAACGAGCTGCTGAGCAAGGCGGAGGATGTGGCTGATACGGTGTACCGCAAGAGCAAACACGTACTACCCCACCTGGCTCGCTTCTGCCTCGTATCAACATTCCTCGAGGATGGACTCCGTATGTGGTATCAGTGGGGCGACCAACGTGACTACATGAACCATACCTGGAATTGTGGCTACATCCTGGCATCGCTCTTCGTTCTCATCAACCTGTTGGGACAGCTGATCGGATCTCTGATGATACTGGCGCGCTATCAGGTGAAACCGGCGTGTGCACTCCTGGGCTTCATTGTGGTCCTCCAGACATTTGCTTACTCTATTTTGTGGGACGGAGCCTTCCTGTTACGCTCGTTATCCTTAGCCGGATCGCTCCTGCTACTTTTCGCCGAAGGACACAGCGAAGCGAAGAGTTTATTCGCAGGCGTTCCGACGCTCGGAGATAATAAGCCCAAGTCCTATATGCAACTCACCGGCCGAATCTTGGTCGTGTTCATGTTCATCACAATGCTCCGCATGGAGTTCAGCTTCTTCCAAGCATTGCAGAACATCGTCGCCTCAGTCATGATGGTTCTTGTGACAGTTGGTTTCAAAACCAAACTCAGTGCTCTTGTGCTCGTGGTCTGGTTATTTATCATCAACATGTACTTCAACGCATTCTGGATGATTCCGTCCAATAAGCCGATGCGAGACTTCCTCAAGTACGACTTTTTCCAAACGATGTCCGTAATCGGTGGACTCCTGATGATTGTATCTCTTGGACCCGGTGGTGTGAGCATGGATGAGCACAAGAAACGATGGTGAAAAGAGCCTCGATCGTGGTTTGCTAGGTTCTAATGAATTACGCGGTGTGAAGTGGAATGTGAAGCTCAAAACGAGACCAGGGAAACGATCCGCCATCGGGGAAATCGGGGACTGAAGCAGGACAGTCCGGCAACCCAAGCCTCCTCGGGGAGAATCTACTCAACAAAAATCAGTGGCGGAGTAAGCGTAACCTGTCGTTTTAATTCATGGAATCCTGTGTGAGAAAGTTGAGTTGGAAATGACTACCTGCGATGGCTGCCTTTGTACTTTGAATGAGAATGAAGATATATTTGTAAATAAAATCCATGGTGTTCCGTCGTTAGATAAGGAAATTTTCATTTTCCTCGTCATCGGACTCAGAGCCTCGAAGCGATGACGGAAGGCCGACTCCTCTCCCGCGTATTGAGGTGGTTTGATACTCGTCCAAGGAAACACAGTCGCGAGCGTTTCTTTAGTTTGTGGGTCAGCCGAAAATCAGACCCACGGGTTCCGATCCGACATCCGGGAAATCTACCCTTAGATTGCGTATAGTCCGCTTTCGGAGCTTCGCTTCGGAGCCCGAAACGGTGGGTTTGAAGCACGGGAGCTTGCGAAGATAGCTCTCTGGAGAGCGCCACAGTCTAGAGGCGATACGGAATCAGAATGCTCATCTATTAGAGCCGCGGGATTCTAGGGGTGGATTAGATTTTGCAGGATGCGCCAGGGACAGTTGGAAGTCTCACCGGCTAATCGATGTGCCGACGGACGAATGTGAAACATTCCCGTCGAGACGAGTCCGAGCTGTTGAAGGAAGAAGTCAAATGATCAGCCTTCGACTCATCGCCGGGGAAAATCTACACCGAGGACAGCAAACGCCCGGGAAACAGAACAGAGAGTTTCCGCGATTTATTCTAGTTTCCACCAGAAGTTCTGCGCCAAAATCAGTAATAATCTCAAAGGGGCCAGAGACGCACGAGACGGCGTGAAACACAGCTGTCGATCAAGGGTGCGGGACTCGATGAATGACTTTCTCGCGAGTTCGAGATAGCCTCCAACGGAATTCTGTAATATCGACTCTCGGAATGTCCGGTACCAATGATCGAGATCGACATTCCTGGATCATATCGTCCCGCACTGCACCGGAAGGGAATGGTGATTGAGAGGAGCGCGGCGAAAACTCCATGCGGTCAGTACCCTTCGCGAGGCAGTCCAATGTGAGAGAGGCATATCCCGGGCTCTAGAGCGAGCACATTCGGAAGTTGTGAGGTGACGCCCCGCACATATATATACTCACACGTGATTACTCGAGCGCCAAATCAGAGTCATTAGGAGGTCGTATTCGCTCAAGTCACCCACCGGCATTGAGGTGGTTTGCATCGTCGGAATCGAGATAAAGCGAAGATACCACGATCTCTCGATAGATCGATCTCTCGGAGCCGTTGAATATGAGTCGGCAGAAAGCTCGCACGAGAGATTTGCGACGAAAAATGTAAGTATTCTCGTTCCGACTCGATTTGCCGCTTACGTGAAATCGGAGGGGCTCGGTAAGATCGCCGACCCATCTGATTCGAGACAGAGCATTCTATCGTGATCTCTATCGCCGGTCTAGCTAAGCCTTTCAGGATCTCATTCTCCCGCATCGATCGCTATAGTATGTAGCTCGATACCCAACGGTAATCGGCGCGGCGGTAGTTTCGGTCAGAAGTTCGCAAAGGATAGCAGAAAAGATGCACGTCCTCTTGCAGGGCGAGAGGAGCCCACGAAGTGCATCCCGCGAATACCCACCGCGACAGTCTGTCGCAGAGCTCTGAGGTGCGGCGAGACTCCCCGGGTCAGATACTCCGTGCGATGAAATGATTGCGGATCGTTCACTCCTTCCGAATTCCAGCGGGAGATACCGCTCCTGCCTCGTATCGAGAGTCGTCGCGGCACTCAATGGACCGTCGAGATGGTCGTTAGCGCGCCGCTTGCTGTCTGTGTGCAGATTGACCCCTCACACCCTGGCTCGACCCCGTGAGACGCCGCACGCTAATTAAGATTTCGCATACAAGCGAGACGATGGGTCTCAGACGAGATGAGGGTTCGATGCCGGCCTCATATGGACCCGGTCTGGGGGAGACTGATCGTCAAATGATTGACTGAGCCTGTCCTCGAAAAAAATTAGAATGGGCGTCGCACAGACCCCAGCTCTCCTTACTTGCGCATTTCTTCGATTCTCGTCAGAATCGATCGCGCTCCCTTCCGACTCCCGACCGCTTTAGATCGTTCTATCCTCTCAGTAATCATTCCTCAGTACCTTCCCGGATTCGACACGGAGCGCTCTGGCGACCCGATCGCCATTGGCCCTCACCTCGTTTTGTCGAAATCCTCCGACGAAGCGGGCGGACGTCTTTGACGCTTGCGTCAGCTCCTACCGAAAGAGTGAGTACCGCATGACGAGCAGTCTTTAGAATAGACGTCTTTGGTTTTTCCCAGAATGCTGCGCTTGAGAATCTCCTTCCTCTAGCATTTGACGCCTGAGAATCCGGAAAGCTTCTCTGTTCTCAGCAGACCCAGCATCGTACTCCGGAGCATGGCACGGGTCCTGAAGAACCATCTCAGCTGGCGATCTCAGTGGTGCTTTTGCGAGGTCAACAAAACTTTTGCCAACAGCCTACAGTGCACCAATGATCGCCCCGCTCTGACGGGATGAGCGGACTCTCCCACCACCTGACTATCGGCTGATGAGCTACGAGGGAACGCTCCTTATGTATCACATGGGGAAGGTAGTGCCGAAGCGCTCGGAAACAGTTCGGAACTTTCCCAGAAGACTTTCCTCGAGGCACGATCTCGGAGGGCTCGTGACCGGGGAGCGTCCAACTTTCAGGCAGGCATGCGTTCTCCCGGCAGTCGGGATAATTCATTGGGGGAATCCTGCAGCATGGTCCCTTGTGACGGCACCCATCCTGCCCAAAAGATGTCTTAACGAATGCGACGCGTCGATGCGACCGGAGCCGCTTGACCAACGGATGTCCTCCTTGAGCCTGTCAGGCAATCAGCGTCAGCGGAGGAGCAGGAGTCGCCGATGAACTAGATCCCAACCGCAGAAATCCGGAGCCTTTACGTACTGTTTCTTATTCACCATCGATTAACGGCGCATTCGAACTTCCTCCCCACCTCGAAATCGAGCGAGAAGCCTGAAAATCCTTAGAAAGCCGCATCTCTCATAGGCTGCCGCCATGAACTCATCTGATTCGGACGAGAATGCAATGACCTTGCGCGAGAATGGTGGTAAGATGAGGAAATAGATAGATTGCGGCACCTCCCTCCCGAAAGACAGCAGGATACGACCAGGAAACGCTTCCACCTTCTGTACGGATGGAATCGATTGAACGCCGAATGTGTTCGGACGCTCAGCCTCCATTCGGTGAGAAGAACGTACACTACCGCGAGGGTGCCGCTCGGACGGCAGAAGGTTCTTTGGTGAAGACACCCGTCAGGTTCCTGTAGCTCCCGATCCATATCAGACTGAATATTATCCACCGGATGTATAGTGATTCTGCCCTCGGACCTACATAATTTGCTCTCGGACAGCCGAGGCTTTATACCTCAACCTGCGGGGAGAGGACGGATCTCCGCTGTCGGGAACGGCTGATCACCTATAGAGGATGAAGAATTCGTGTTTGTTGGGCGGAATGGATTCAGCTAACGATGCTGTCCCTATTTTCACAGTCAAAGCTCCGGCTCTATGGAATCGCACAGAGGAAATTTGCGCCGGAGTCGAGCTCTGTGCTGCCGGAAGAGTCACATCGGCTGAGAAACTCGCCCTCCTCTTCAGGTCGGGTCATGGAGGAGCTGGGGTAATCCAGGGAAAACACGATGAAGCGATTCTTCTTGAGCATCCATGTTGGTGGCCAGCCTCGTGTCCGCCTTGATGGGGGGGCGGCGGACCTTCGCGCGCTGGTTTGAAGGGACGATTTCTCCGACTATTGTTCGGTAAGCTTTCGCCGAGAGCAAACGATGCGGAGGGCAGGGGCGACTTCGGCGAATGCAGTACTTCTCAGGGAGCCTTCGACTTGGAGCGGCTTCGTCCGAATGGGTGCCGGGTGCAAGATCGCCTACCCACTAATGACGCGGGACCTCCGGGTTTTAATACAGTCATCCCTCGTTTATCGCGACCTCCCTATATCGCGATTTCTCGGAATCTGGTTTGTACCCCCATTCCTCGCTCACCGCGACACCAATATCGCGGTTCTCCCTATACCTAATTTATATACCGTATCTTTCTCGAGATCCAGTACGTGCCCCCATTCCTCGTTTACCGCAACTCCAGTATCGCGGCTCTCCGGGATGGGAATATCTGTTCGATTCCGTCTGCCGATAACTTGGACCGGATGACGCCTAAATCTCTTTTTCTCTCATTACCAAGAATTTACTACTGACGCGAGACATATGAACCTCCGGAATCGAGATCGCATATCGCGGAAATTTGTTTATCGCGGTCGGGTACGGAATCCGGAACCGATCAACCGCGATAAACGAGGGATGACTGTAATGATGCCCGATTCTGAGCCGCGTTTGAACACCACTCCAGGCTTCTCTGGATTCCTCGAAAGGAGGATCTCGACTTGCCATAAATGAGAGAGCGGAATTGGAAGTTCCGTTGCTCGGTGTCAAGAGCGAATAATGCTGAGCTACATCCGGAGCCTCGGTAGATTTTGGGAAAGATGGTCATCCTGTCATCAGCAGACGTCCGTGCGAGACCAAAGCCAATTTTCCGCTTAGCTTGACTTCACTGTTTTTGAGGCACTTCGGAAGAGAGCAATATGAACTCCCATGCGGAGCTGCAAAACATCCTGACCTCGTCCGCCTTGCTTCGAAATCGCGATCCCAGACCTAAAAAAACCAAAATTCTGACATCCGGTCACCTTGCGCTCGAATCGAGAATGTGAGCGATTTTTGATTGGGCCCGACCCGGGTCCATAGTGCGGTTCGAGAGGAAACAGCTCCTAATTTCCCACACGCCACAACGGACAGTCCGAGAAGTTCCCGTCGTCCGGTGTCCACAGCCTCGGGCAGGCTCCTATTAGATTATGTTATGCTCACTCATCTGTTTGTGTAAGCGAATTCTACGCGTACGCGGTCTGCCGGGATCCTTCTCGCAGCTCGAAAAAATTCGGTCTCGTCGACAGCCCTAGTCTATTTCGCTATCTATCCTTCCGCCGGCACGGCTCGTGAACGACATGATGACGATCATCAAAGATAGCAGAATCCTCAAATGAGGTCCTTGTCCCACCTGGGAGAAGCACGGCATTCGTGTTCAATCCTTGAATAATGCCATGTTCCCCCTGAATATAGG